GCCGTAGTGCGGTAGTGACACTTTTCCGGACATGGGTCCCTATACTCAAATGTTTTCTACTGTTGCACTGAATAACCCCTAGAAGTTTGATCCCATAGTTCTGAAACACCCTGTATATATGTATTATATATATATATATAAACGTACGTAGAGATACATGCGTACGTAAAAAGTATACGAGAGTGTTGCACGCATACGCCGCGTGTGCGCCGTGCTGCACGCATTTAAAAAAACCTCTTTGATAAGACGATCCTCGAGTTTCGCAATCGATTCTTTCTTTCTCCCTTAAAAAAAGAAAAACTGTTTTTGTTTCGGCGCGTTCTAAGTTTATAACCGAAAGGAAAAAAAAAACATAGCCTTTGGCATCGTGTCGCGATTTGCTTTCGGTGTGGCTGGCGATTGACGGGGGACCGAACTGCAAGAAAACTCGAAAACATCGCGTGTTGCGCACATGTCAGCGTGAACGAAATCGACGAAAAAATGCGGCGACGTCATCGTGAGACGAATTGACGACACTTCGGAAGTTTGTTTAAGACTCGAGATGCTAAGTTTTGTTTTATCGAATGAAATTTGTGTGTGTGTGTGTGTGTACGTTGCGTAATACGCGTATTTTATCGCAGCGCTTCATTCGTACTGATAACATTCTGTGCGATTGCTCGATGTGCGACGACGTCAGCTCGATTCAAATTCTCGACGCTCGAGATAACACGGGAAAAGTTTGTGTGTCTCATTTATCCTAACGCGCGTTATACAACATATATATATATATACATTTATATATATATATACATATATATATAAAGCAACATACATATATATATATATAAAGAGTCATTGAAAACACAAGAATTCGTCCCTGTGTCATAAGATCTTATGTTGTGTATTTATGTGTATATATTATATTTTTTATGTTACATGTATAGTACGTATTACGTATTTTTATTATTAATCGCGATAGCAATGTGCTTTAGGCTTACTACGAACGCGCAAAGAGTGTTTATTTTACCAATGACGAGACACTCGATGCCACGAATAACATCTCTGAGATTTCTTAGGTGTTTGTTACATACGTCTGAGAAATCTCAGACATATATATATTATTCTACGCAACCAATTAATCAGTCGTCATTAGTAACGTGTGTATACATGTGTAGCGCGTTCACACCTAACACAAATTTAATATTGTTGAATCATTCACGCTGTCTGTGATACATGTGTTTTTTTTTTCCCTGCAACTATTGATATCTCGATATGAATGTAAACCTGTTTTGTTTTGTACATCTTTTTCGACAATGTT